ACGACAATGTTTGTAAAATGTCTTATAAATGATTTGAATGTGTTTGTTAATCAAATATCACTGAAACATTTTTAAAACATAAAAATTCATTTCTGCAGGATAAAATGTTTTGAAAAAGTTCAAAAAATATTTTTTAACAAAAAGTTTTAATAATCTTCATATTCTCAAAAAATCATTAAAAAATCATTTAAATGTTATTCGAAATATCATTATAAAAATGTTTTCTAACATAATCTTTCAAGTCTTTTTATAAAATATTCAGAAACATATAAACAATGTTTAATATCAGAGACAGATTTAGGAGTGGGGTGCCTGGGTCCCCCCTTTATGGCCCTTATGGAGCTACATTTATGGTAAATCCAGATTTTTTTATTACTCTCAAAACTTTGTCTAGTTTGGGGCCTGATGACCCCTTTTAGTGCCCCCGCAACTGAAAGTTGGGAGCATATTATTTTACCCCTGTCTGTCCTTCTGTCTGTCTGTCCGTTCGTCCCATTATGGGTATATAGTTATTCAGCACAACTCCTCCTACAGTTAGAGTCCTAGGAAGTTTTCACTTGGCTATCTGTTTGTACATATACTGAAAATGTGCATGTGGTTATGGTTTTGATTTTTATTGATATTTGCCCTTTTGGGAGATAGTTGAACTTTGTCATTTTTGGGGTATAAGCGGTTAAATGTTATAGTTATTTTAAAATAACACTTTGCATCTACGGGGGCATCAATTGTGTCTCCCAGACACAATAATATCTCAAAGAAAGTCCTACATTGACATTGTTTTAATACAGTTACTTCAGAGTGGAGTGGGGGGGTCACTTTATCTAGATTCAAAATCCTGGGTCAACATTTGAAAAAACAACTGCCGTCATACTGATCTTTACCCCACATCTCCTTTTACATTTGTCTGCATGCTGTTGATGCCGGCTTAATCTATATATGTTTTGTCTATTTTTGTCGGGTTAATGTCTCATTGACAAACCCCAATGCCATTCCGCATAATTTATTTCACTTACATAGAGGTACTAATTTTTATACGACCGCAAAATTTTTTTGGGATCGTATAATGGTATGATGTCGTCGTCCGAAGACACATTGGTTATCGGACAATAACTTTAGTTTAAGTGAATGGATCTTTATGAATTTTTTTAAGAAGGTTTAATACCACAAAAGGAAGTTTGGGGATGATGGTCCCAACCGTTTAGGAATTTGGGGCCCAAAAAAAGCATTTTTCTAGTTTCAGGATAATAACTTGTGTATAAGTATATCGACTGCTCTGAAATTGTACCACAATGTTTAATACCACAAGTAGAAGGTTGGGATTCATTTTAGGGGTTATAGGGCCAACAGTTTAGGAATTAAGGGCCAAAAAGGGGCCAAAAACAAGCATTTTTCTAGTTTCCTGACAATAACTTGTGTGTAAGTATGGATCTCTTAGACATTGTAACACAAGGTTCCATATAACAAAGGGAAGGCAGGGATTGAGTTTGGGGTTAATTGCCCCAAACATGTAGGAATTAGGGGCCAAAAACAAGCATTTTTCTAGTTTCCAGACAATAACTTGTGTGTAAGTGTATGGATCTCTCTGAAATTGTACTACAAGGTTTCATACTACAAAGGAAAGGCTGGGATTGAGTTTTGGGGTTATTGCTCCAAGGGAGGGTTCAAAAAATCGGGGGGAGGGATTTTTTTCACAATTTTTTTTTTAAGGGATTCATATTTTTTTTCAAAATTTTTAAAATTTCGAATTTTTGAAAAGTTTCAAGAAGAAATCTTCAATTGCACAGTATTGCGCAATGGATTTATAAGATCTTTGACCACATTTATTTTGTGTCAGCAACCTATATTATGTCAAAAATTTGATTACAATCCAAATTCAGACAGTATCAAGCTTGAATATTGTGTCCAAATTTGCCCCAACTGTATAGGGTTCGACCTCTGCGGTCGTATCAGGCTGCGCTCAGCAAAGCATTTTATTTCAGATTATAAATAGTCCATGCATTTCATTTGGTCCAGCATTGAACAAATTTTTTCTTAGAAGTGTTTTTTATCTTTTGTTTGATCATGTGTAGCATCTGTCATTTTCTGTCTGATCAGCTTTTCGATGGTTTTTTTTTTTGCTGTCTTGGTCAACAATATACAAGATAACAACAATAAGAAATGCAAAATTTTTATTTAATTTTGTCATTTCACTGTTCTTTTTCAATTTTTTCTTTTGTTTCATTCTTTTTATTTCTCTTGACTTCTGCTTGCTTCTGTAAAGAAAATGTTAACAGATTAGTCCTGTTGTTTAGTAAGTAAACTAGTGGAGATAATTTAAATTTCATCAAATTACACAAGAAAATTTTATTTTAATCCAGTCTGGTTTCATAAAAATTTATATTGAAAAGCGACATCTAATCAGTGTGACTGGATTCGGAAGATATACACGTACATCTGTGGAGTTTCAGGTGTATTATTATCATACGAGTCTGTAACGGTAGAGTTCACCAGTACTAAAATAAAACTGTACAGTATCATTTTCCCAACTGAGATTAGGACCTGTAACCTTTACTTGGTCTTACAAAAAATCAACTCTCTTAATGGTAATTGTATATTTTAACACAAATACATTTTTGTGATATAGATTGAGGCTATAAAAGGATAAATACCTTCACACAATCTGCTCCTCCAGAATGTTTTGAATCTAAGCTTATAAATTTTGGCTCTTCTAATTGATTCTACAAAAGATAAAAAAAAGTCAAAATATTAAATAAAATACAGTCAAGAAACAATCACATAGTACTAGTCAGCTACAAAGGTCACAACATTCAAAAATGAAAGAAAATTCAAACAAGAAAACTAATGGCTTGATTTTAAGTTATAAAATAAGACAATAAAAAAACAAATATATATGTATATATATCAGAAATTAACCAACTATAACTACTAAATTAAAGGCTCCTGACTAGGATTGACACATTAACAATTATCTATACTTACAAAATATATATCTGGCCTGGCCTTGAAGGGCTAGCGATTAATCACAGGCACTTGTCTCAGAAAAAAATTTCCTATAACACGTGTTATATTAAGGTACATAGGAAATTTTTTTTTGAGACAAGTGCCTGTGGGATTAATCATGAAAACTGTATAATGAATATATTGTCTTTCATGGTTACAAATATCTACCAGTAGAAAATGTCTGCAATATTTCACTATTTTATATTACTTTACTAACTAATACATTGTTGATGACGCTGAAAACAGCATACCATATATATGCTATGTCTTGCTTTTGCACTCTGTCAAGGCAAGACAAAAAGGAAAGAAATCAATGATTCTAGTTCAAATATATTTGATTGATTGTTGGAATCTTAATGTCCAGTGACAAATATTTAATGCATGTTCCAGCCAAAGTTTAATTAAACAAGCTAAGGAATGGTTTGAATTTTTTTTAAACATGTAGGTAAATATTTTTTAAAGTACTATTTAATTACATAGATTAAATTCTGCTTGCCATGAAATATTGGAAAACCAGATATCATGTGGATTTAATGGTATAACTAATGAAATTTTGAAAAATTCTTGTATGCTGAATGTTGGGCATGATATATATATAAAATTATAAAACATTACTTTTTTCTTAAAAATTAATAAAATTTTCTCTCTAGAAAGAAGTTCTTATTGGAGAGAAAATTTATTTAACCCATATTCAAAGGAAGATGTTTTAATAGCCCTTCAAACAACAGAGGTATAACCCTTTTGACTAGTTTAGGAACATTTTTTTCTAGGGTATATAATAGTTTAGAAAACTTTTTAGAATCTTATAAGATTATCTGCCAAGAACAGATAGGATTCAAAAAGGACGTAGAACTACATGTATAAGGACCACATTTCTAAGTTTAAAAAATATTTAGTTGGGTTAGTTTTCATAATTATGTTCTAATCAATTTTGCAGAATTTGAAATTATTCCATATTTAAATATTCCTTGTTTGAACTTGAATTGCAAATAAAACTTCATTATAGATGTACATATCTTTTAAAATTTCCAAAAATGGCCCCATCATGTTATATATAAAAAGTTTGCAGAGAAGGGCCTTTATATTTTTTTTACAGTGTCTTTTTTTTTAAGTTGATGAAACTGAGACATATTAAAAGATTTAAAGCTTAAAAATGTAGAATCATGTCTTGTTTAAAAGTGATATTGGGAGGATTTAATACTTTCCTTGTGTAATTGTCCCATTTTCAAAAGTAATAAATTGTTTATATATAATTGTGACACAAAAGACTATTAGTATAATAGTCCCAGTATATAACAAGTTAAATTTAATTTTCCCTTGCCCAGTCTGCATGGTCTGTATCACATTTCATGGCCAACAGATAATATCTGTATAGAACCCCTATTTTTAATCATTATTATACAAAATCATTGAAATGTATCCTAGAAAGTTTAATTATATATTCATGACTATTTATATGTTCAGTGGGGTTTTTATTTTGCTTTTTTCTAACTTGGGGTACATGTATTTGTCACTTGGTATTTCACACTAAATATTTCATATAAAATTGCATTTCAAAAGATTATTTAGGGGACATTTCTGATTTGATTTTATGCAACTTGGTACCAACAGCAGAATAATTATTTGTTTATTTTCATTTTCTTCTGAGATAAACATAAATATTATTGTCTATTATAAACAATCTTGCTATATATTTATATTTCAACCAAATTAAATTGTAAAACATAGTATATGTGTTCACATCAGGAGAAAATAAAAACAACAGACATTGACAGATGACAGAGCTATGACTTAACAAACAAATACTCTTTATATACAATTCAGCGTTTTTCAACACATTATTTGTAAAAATACAACCATAAATGCCTCAAATAAACGTCTTTTTATATGAAATATATAGCCCAAAAATGTTGGTGACGAAAGCTTTTTGGCAATGTACTGTAGCGGCGTTTCCGCTTATAATAGAAGAAATCTCAATATTTTTTAAATACATCGTTTACCTTTCTATAAGATCTATATTTCTGTCTCTTGTGACAGCTCCACGTAACGTTAGTTCTGGAACAGACCAGGTATTGTAATCATCGGATGCCATTGTTTACGTTGTAAATACAGATGCAAGCGTTTTACGTGATTGAAGCGTTCAAGTAACCACTTATGGAACCGCAGCGCCGCCACGCGTGAAAAGTCGTGAATGATTCCTATTTGGGAAATTTTCTATTTTCTGTTTCTTACTTGCTGTTGGAGTCAAAAATCGATGTCTTTCTATCTTTTAAGCATGTTTCCTTGGAATAGTCCTAGATTTGTCTTATTATTAAAGAAATTAATACCCAAATTGGCCGTCCTTTAACAAATATGTTAAAAAATTGCTCGAAGTTATCTGTTAGTTTTTCTTCTTTTTTCACAGATAGACTAAGATTATATATAATCTTCCAACAAAAAATAAAACGCATCTCAAATTAAAAAAAATATATTTCAAGACTAACGTTCTGTCACCCCTTAGGAAACCCCGTTTGAACTAAATTCCGAAAGAAAGACATCATTTGACATTGTAGTTTTTTGGTAATACACATCGATGTCAACATGCATTTGAACAGAATGTACACACATTTAGTGTGTTTGTTTGAAAAAGCAATGGCAAGTTCATCTGTGAATTTGACTGGATTTTAAATTATTCTCTTTAAGTGAAATGTTTGACTCTCACTGAAACAATAAGGTAAGGAAATTTTAAAACTGTCTTTACACAACATTGAATTTGAGATGACTGGAAAAACTCATTCATTGTTATAAATATATTTTTTTTGTAATAAAGGAATCCTGCACAAATAAATGCAAATATTACATGTACATTGAAAGGAAACATAAAAGTCTTGTCCTTTGAACTTAAAAACAATCTCTTTCAGACTTGCATTTTAATCACTTTAATTCAAAGCACTGTGTGACTTTAATACTTGTGTTCTAAAAAAAGTATTCATTTAGCACTCTTGAAACTACATTGGAATACTTGTATGCCTAGTTATATTTTTTAAAATAGCAGAATAAAATGGAAATCAAATCTTTCTTCTTTTATTATGAAGAATTTACATTGAGAATACTTTGATTATTATTTCTTTTAAATTTATATGAAAAAGGTAGGATCAGGTATACATTAATATTGCAGGGGAATGGTTTTCATTCACCACTTTTCCCGCTAGGTGGGGACAGTGAACTAACGGTGGTTACGTAAGCGTTTTAATTTTGTTTACAAATGGATGCGATAGACACACGTGGAGATGAGGATGTTGACAAGATTGAAAGGTAAGTTATCGTACAAATATTTTGTTAACATGTCATAATTTTGTTTAGTTATAGTCTACATTGCATTATTTTTAAAACGGCAAGTTAATCAGGATTTCATCATGTCAAACGAGCGTAAAACGTGTACCTGTCATCGCAAGTAGTACACACACTTCTCCTACGACAAAAGAATATCATGCTTTGGTGATTGCCAGACTTGAAATCGGTAGATCCATCATAAATCATTTCATTATAAAAAATTTGTGTTGACGGTAGACATTTTGCAAAAGGAATTGTACAGTGGTAAAAATATTCAACTTGTTTTTCTCATTTAAAATGACATTTTTTTGTCTCTTTCAATATAATAAAAGGAGATCACACAGTCCTGGGACTATACTAGTATAATAGTCCCAGCACAGTCACAGGAATAAACTAGATTTTTTTAACAAGTGTTCATAGAGAAGAGATGAGTCTATACAAATGCCATGTTTACTTTTTTGTATGAATGTATTTTTAAAAAGAATATGGCAAAGCCTTATATTACTAATATTCCTCAGAAGTTGACAAAGAAGATAATAAATAATACCTGAAACAAAAATCTATAGATATAAGTTATTAACACTTGATGCTAGACGCTTGACTGTTAAGGTTGTCCCCTTAAAATAATTATGTAATTTTTCACTGGCTTACTTACTTTTGAATATGACAAACTTATTAAAGCTGTGTGTAGCAGGCCAATTTGAAATCATAATGTTTAAACCCAATGTTTAAATTCATGCAGGTTTTCTGAGACGAGACAGATGACTTAGGCGAGCCCAGAAATATGTCTGTACTCAACATTTTTAAACTAATGAGTCCAAATTTAAGATGTATCAAAATTGTCAAATGTTGCATTAAATGTCAAAACATGTATATTTATAAATATCATCAGTTTAAAAATAATTTGAATTTTATTTTATTTCTTTGATTCAACTATTAACTTTATATATCATGTATATATAGCAAAAAATTTCATCTTCACACTGATGGACTCACCATGGCCAAAAAATTATGAGTCCCTAGACTTGTCTTCAAAAATCCTAAGTGACAAACCTGTACATACATGGATAAGAAAGAAGATGTGGTATGATTGTTAATGAGACAACTCTCCACAAGAGATCAAATGACAAAGAAATTAACAACTATAGGTCACTGTACAGCCTTCAACAATGAGCAAAGTCCATACCTCATAGTCAGTTATAAAAGGCCCGAAATGACAAATGTAAAACAATTCAAACGAGAAAACTAACGGCCTAATTTATGTACAAAAAATGAATGAAAAACAAATATGAAACACATCAACAAACGACAACCACTGAATTACAGGCTCCTGACTTAGGACAGGCACATACATACAGAATATACACATTTTTCACATGATACATAAACATGATAAACAACTTAAAAAATTAGGAATAGAAATATTTTACAATATGTTTTATCATGCATGAATTCTTTTTTATTGTAGGAGATATTCTTGTCCATGACTCTGAGTGTCTTCGTACTAGAGTTAAAGAAAATCAATTGCATGTTAACTTTCAATGAAAAAAATTGCAAATATATATTGCTGCTTAAGGTAAGAATTTGCCTACAGAGTTAACTGTTCATGCCTTCACTTACATGTAAAAAAGAAATGTACAGGCCTGTAGCTAAGAATTTTCAAAGGCAAAGGGGTCACTATGGACTTGCGACAAACAAAATCTCAACGTTAGGCCAAAAAAAAAAAAATATGTGTGTTTCCTATTACATCTTTGAAAAAATGGGGTAGGTAGGTACGGATTTAATTTTGTTTTTCCATTTTTTTTTACATTGAGACTAGGGTAGTCTATTTTTTAGCTTTAAACATGTTAAAAATAGGGAGGGTAGGGTAGTAGGAAACACATATCTTTTTTATTTGGCCTTAATAGACTAAAAAGTGCTTATTAGGATTCAAGAGTTTTGTAAGAACCCTTGGACCCCCCCCCCCTTTTTTTGGCTAAGGGCTTGATGTATGTTGATATAGGAAGGGCCCCAAAAATTACTAGTGTAAAACCATTCAAATGGGAATCATGAAAACTTCTTCATTTATTTTAGGACACCTTGTATTTTTTTTAATGTATTTGCTTGCAGTAAACAATATTACAGTTTCATTATATATATGACACTTATTCATGATTTTAAAATTTTTGTTTTCACAAGCGTACAAACTTAAATGTTTAGTTGAGGCCATCATAATAAACAGATTCTCATCCTTCTGGGTAAGATCATCTCATAATTATGTGAAATGGTAAAAGCTGAGCATTCAGATTTTATGCGGAGGGGTGGGAGGTTACACAACTTCCCCAAGTATCTTCTATTCATATAAATAATGTCTTTGGCTATTTTCTTTATTTTTGCATCAGTTTAAAACAAAAATAATTAAAAAAAACTTGTCAGCCCCTAGACAAATATACAATAGTGTGATGATAATTTAAGATTTTTTAATATGGCATTTATTAATATTTATGTTGAATTAATGAATTGTAACATTTTGACTTTTTTAACTACATGAAATATTTGTTAAAATTTGCACTTTTCCTCTGCATGAAAGTATGTTCTAGGTATTTATTTTATATTAACCTTGCTGTTCAGAAAAGTTCATGTATGCTTTTAATTTCAGGTTACACAATGAAGTTAAGCAGCTATGCATGACAGAATCGACAAAATGAACCCCAGAAAAAGTCTTGAAAATCTTATGCAGTATGACTACAGTGCTATTGCTGACTTTTTGAGACTATAAACATGATAAATTCTTCTTATTTTTATAAGAAATTTTATACTTCGAACAAATAAAAACAAATTATGGGAAAGAAAAATGAAAATGTAAATTGTTGAAACCTAAATGGTTTAAATGTTCTCAATATTAAAAACATTGCCAAAATGTACCAATTTATTGTTATATTTAACTCTGGACATGGCCAGTATAAAAGGGGTAGCATAGCTGATTTTTCAAATTATACAGTTACACTGACAGGAATCTGACCCAATCTAGTTTTGTAGGCAGATTCAGTTTACCATAGAAGACCTTATATAATTAAGTGACATGGCTTAAAGAGAACAAGACCAACTTTTTTCCAATTGCTTAACCTCTTCGCCCCCAATCCCGCCTGTAGTCGTGATGGCGACCACCATTCTTTGATAGCCTGTATGACCCCCCACCCCCAAATCTCAATACCTAGTTTAATAGATCAGCATCAGTTACAGCATCAAGAGTCTACTAATTTGCATAAGTTTGCCAATTTTCGAAAATGGCTGATTTTCCAGAAATCTCTTGGGGTCGAATGAGTTAACAGAAATCAAGTGATGAAAACTGCTAACATACAACATGCAGGAGCTATGAAAAGTAAAAATTAAGGGATGTGATGTACTGCATCATGAGTTCACACACCTTACACAACCTTAGGAAAACAAATAGTACTTTTGTTGCAGTTCTTCGTCTCAAATATTTCACTCTGAAGATAAAGATCATGAGAAAACAACCATCACATAGCTACTAGATATATTTTACTAGTACTACATGTACTACTTATTATACTGAAAAAGTCTGAAAAGAAATACAAATTGAGAGGAAAATTTTTATTTCAAATGCAACTTTCTATGTCCAGGAAAAATATTAACAAGTGTCAATACTTATTTAAAACAAACAGCTGAGTCTGTAAATGTACAAAGAAAGCCATAAAAAGCCCATCTTTACTAACAACAATCTGTTGTTAATGGTGACCTATAATTGTTGTTTTGATGGAACAAATTCCATCTCAGGCTTTTTTGGTTGCTGTCTCAATGACATATTATTTCATTAACTTTAAATTCAGATAATATCAATAGAAATATACAATATATGTACATTGTGGGCAAATAGTAAAATTTAT